CCTTGCTCAGTCTTGGTGTTATCTAAATCAGCTTTAAGTATGGCATACAATTAGGCACAGAATCAATGGCCATTGGAACAGACAAGAACACAGCTGGAAGGAATGATAGGTAAGGTAGGAAAAGAAATTGAAGACAAAATGATCTCAATTTCAAGGTCTGTCTGAAAAGCTTAAGTAGGACTTAAGAATATTTCACACACGCTAGCTGATCTGATGTTCTCCATCTGTTACTAGTCCCTGGAGGCCAACTGGCCATTAAACACAGAACGATGACTGGTGTAGCAGGTGCAGTGAAGTGGGAAGGTACGGAGCAAATAAAACAAGTCCATGGCATCTATTAGAAATGTTGACCCTCAGGACATTTTAAAAGGTTGTGCTCTGTGGTATTCATGACGTACGTGTGAGAGGTATGATGGCCAGTGTATTTCTCATGAAAGTACTTCAATTACTTTTCTATTGTTATTTTTTAGAATCCCCAGGTCCTACACTATACAGTCACTTAATACTCAAAGAGAACTATGACTTGCTTTGACAAATTGTCCTTTAAAGCAATTCATTGGCCCAGTGTCAATGGGAGTGTTGCGTGAGCTACACCCTTTGCTAAAATAATTCTCAAAACCTACCACTGTGAGTCAGCTATTCTCTTCCTGTGTGTTTTCCTTGACGCCCTCTAACATCTGTATCAAATTGAAGCTTCTTATTAGCACCTGTTAAGATTTCCAGCATTCCACTAGATACATCTCTGTCTTTTACTCTTGCTTAAACTTCTGCTCAGTCTCTGTGCTCTGGTCCCTGTTTGCTCTCTTTTCTACATCTTCCTGCCACACCCTCATCCTTTCATTTGTCTGAAACCACTTCCCTTGGTGAATCCAACAAGCTCTCTCTTTTTAATGATGCATTTTCTCCTTCATAGAATTTTTTCTTAAGATTTCAATATGGCCGGTGAGTGACTTACAAAGAGCAAGTTTCTAAAGAATTGTCAGTATTCTACTGAGGGCAATTCTTTCTTTATATGTTGACTATAAGGGCACTGTATAGGAAGGAAATATTTTTAACTTTTTTTTTCTTAGCAATAATTTATCTTCTTGTGTTCCTGATCCACATGCTAGACTACAGAGACTCCCTTTTTTCTCTCACAACCTTCATGCAATTCAACAGCAAATCTAGTTGGCTTTAAATCTAGTTGGCTTTCTCTCCAAAACACACTAAATCCAACAGCTTCTAATGACTTCCACCTTATCTCATAACACAAGCTGCCAGCAGTTCCTGCCTGGATACCCTACAGTCTATTCACATACAGCAGCCTCGGTGGTCTTTGGAAAATGTAAGTTAGTTCACGCTGCTCCCTTCTTCAAAACGTCTTACCAGCTTCATATCTCTCTCAAAATAAAACCAATGATGGTCAATAAGGTTCTGCACAAGTTAGCCCAGCTCTGTCTCTGGTGTCGTCTCCTGTCTCCCTCTCCTCATCCACCCACCCCCCACACCAACCAATTTCTTCACACTGTCTGGGGTTTGCCCTTCCTCTTCATCTGTCTGTGTCAGTTTCTCTAGACCTCCCCATTGCCAACCCCTCTCTTCACTTGGGTTTCTACTCATATTTTGCTTTCTCTAAGAGAATGATTAGAGAATCTAAAAAAAAAAAAAAAAAAAAAAAAAACCCCCC